GGGGTTTCACCGTGTTGACCAGGATGGTCTCGATCTCTTGACCTCGTGATCCACCCGTCTCGGCCTCCCAAAGTGCTGGGATTACAGGCTTGAGCCACAGAGACTTTCTTATTACTCTTTACCCAGCTTCCTCTGTTAGCATCTTACCTTTTAATATTTTCAGAATAATGGCTTATCATACTTACAATAGCATTTTATTTTAATTTCATTCATATATATTTAAATATCACGGATATTTAAATTTTATTTTTTAAAAATTGTTTTTAATTGACAAATTGGAATTGTACATATTCGTAGTAATGTTTAGATACATGGAATATATGGTGAACAGATGAGGATAATTAGCCTATTCATCATCTCAAACATTTATTATTCCTTTGTGGTGGGTACATTCAATACCTTCCAATGTATTTGAAAGTATATAACATATTATTGTTACATATAGTCCTCTTACAGTGGTTTTCCTCCTATCTAGCCATACATTTGTATTCTTTAACAAATCTTTCTCTAGCTCTCCCTTCCCCCTACCATTCCCAGCATCTAGAATCCTCTGCTCTTCTTTTTACTTCTAAGAAATTAGCTTTTTAAAGCTTCCACATGCGTGAGAATATATGGTGTTTAACTTTCTGTTCCTGGCTTATTTCACTTAACATAATGTCCAGTTCTATCCATCTTGTTGCAAATGACAGGAATTCATTCTTTTTTTATGGCTGAATAGTATTCTATGGTGTATGTATACCACATTTTCTTTATTCATTCATCTGTTGTTGGACACCTATGTTGATTCTGTATCTCAGCTATTATGAATAGTGCTGCAATAAACATGAGTGTAGATGTCTCTCTGTAATTTTCTTTTTAGTAAATGTTCTGTTCATGTTTGTAAGCCATTTTACTATTAGTACTTTTTTTTTCTATTTATTTATATGACCTCTTTTATAGTAAATATATTAAGCCTTGTCATTTGTAGCAAGTGGGAATATAAATTAGTATTAATATCCTAGAAAGAATTTACTACGTGTACCAAAGCCTTAAAAATATTCATACCATTTTACTCAATAATTTCATTTTATGAATCTATTCTAAAATTAAAAAAATTAGAAACTCAAGGATATATGCAAATAAATGTTTATAATTTCTGAAAAATAACTTAAATTTCTATCACTTGAGGAGTGTTAAACACATTACAGTGTTTCATGGGATGAGACAGTGAAGAGCCACAATAAATTCAATTTATGAATATGTCTTCATGAAATGGGAAAGCCTTGAGATAAGAAGTTAAATGAAAAAAAAAATAGATACAAAAACTTTATCTCAACCATAGAAAATAAATTAATAAAATACATGAATGGGTTGGGTGTGGTGGCTCAAGCCTGTTAATTCCAGCACTTTGAAAGGCTGGGGTGGGAGGATTTCACACCCAAGTTCAACACCAGCCTGGGTAATATAGCCATACCTCATCTCTCTTAAATAAATAAATAACCAGCCACTCAGGAGGCTGAGATGCAAAAATCACTTGAGCCTGAGAGGTGGAGGCTACAGTGAGCTGTGATTGCACCACTGCAT